TTGTGCAAGTACCCTGCAAATTTGGAAGCCATATAGATGCCCCGGGTTAAGATCTCCAAGTCAACATAAAAACATGTCAGGCACTCAGGATCTCAATAACTGCGTATCATTACATCTTGTAAAACACATTATCTTATCATGAATATACTGTATATTATCCAGTTAAAGATACTATCATACAAATTATCAACAGATAATTTCCCATCATTGTGGAAATTATTTTTAATTAATTAATTAATGTTTTGCTTCTGTATTTTTCTCATTGTTTTCCTTCCTCTCATCCTTCCCTTTTTTTCACTCTCCTCCCACACTGTCTCTAGAGCCCACAATTATTCTTCATGGTTTTATATCTTCCACTCTTTCAGTTTCTGCTATAGAGTGTGAACATTCGATATATATTAAGTGGAGACATACAGTGTCTCTCTTTCATAGCCTGGATTGCTTCATTCAGCAGTAAATCTTCCATGTTTTTCTACTTTCTATCAAATGCCAGTGTCTTGTAGTTTTTAATGGCTGCGTAATATTCCATATAGTATAAGTGCCACACTTTTTCAATACATTCTTCTGTTCATGGGTATTTGGATTGGTTCTATGTCTTAGCAATTGTGAATAATACCACAATAAGCATGGATGTGTAAGCACATTTCCAAATGAGTCTCCTATCCTTTGGATAGATACCCAGGAGTGGAATTACTGGATCATATGTAGTTCTATTTGCAGATTTTGGGGAACCTCCATATTGTTCTCCACAATGGCTATATTAATTTACATTTCTACCAATAATGTAGGAGAGTTCCCTTTTCACCACAACCTTGCCAGCACTTAGCATTTTTTTTTAATCTTAGCCATTCTGTCTCGAGTAAGTGGTATCTCATAATGGTTGTGATTTGCATCTCCCTTATGATAAGGAATATTGAGCAGTTTTTTATATGCTTTTTGGCTGTGTGTATGTCTCCCTTAGAAAGTTATCTGTTCAGCTTATTTGCCCATCTTTTAATTGCTTTAATTTTTTTTTCTTAATTCAGGTAAGCCACTTGAGTTCCTTGTATATTCTGGCTATCAGTCCCTTGACTGAGATAGTTTGTGAATATATTCCATTCTGAGGTTAGCCGGTTCACTATAACTATTGTTTCTTTTGCAGAGCAGAAGTTATTTAACCCAATGTAATTCCATTTGTCTATTTTTGGGATTATTGCTTGTGCTTTAGAGGTCTTATTTAAGAAGTCTTTTCCTGCTCCAATGTCTCCAAGAGTTTTCCCTGTGTTTTCCAGCATTTTTATAGTTTGAGGTTTTATGTTTTTTTTTATCCATTTTGAATTGATTTTTGTTAGTGGTGAGAGACAGAGTTCAGTTTCTTCTTTCTGCAGGTGGGTATCCAGTTTTTCCACCACCATTTGCTAAAGAGATTTTCTTCTCCCCACTGGACTGACCAGTGCCCTTTGTCAAAAATCACATGGCTCTATGTTGGGGTTTATTTCTGCAGTCTCTATTCTGTTCCACTGACCTACATACCTGTTTTTGTGCCAATACCATGCCGTTTTAATTATTACAGCTTTGTAATATATTTTGTAGTCAGGGTAAGATGTTCTACTCTGCTCTTCTTAAGCAGTATTGCTTTAACAGTCTTTTATGACTCCAGACAAATTCTGTGATTGTTTTTATAAATCTGTGAAGAATATCTCTGGTAATTTGATTGGGATTGTGTTAAATTTCTAGAACTGAGACATTTTGATTAGATTAATTTTTCTGGTCCAGAAACATGGGATGTCTTTCCACTTTTTTGTAACATTTTCAATTTCTTTTAAAATTTTTTCAGTTTCTCTTATAGAAGTCTTTGACTTCTTTGGTTTGGTTTATTCTTAGATATTTTATTTCTTTTGTGGCTATTGTAAATGGAGTTGCTTTCTTTAGTTCCACATCAGTCTGTTCACTGTTGGTGTATAGAAATGCTGCAGATTTTTGTATTTTGATTTTGTTTCCTGCCACTTTATTGCATTCATTTATTACTTCCATGAGATTTTTTGTTTGTTCATTTTTGGTGGTTTCTTTCGGGTTTTCTATGCATATAATCATATTATTTGCAAACAGAGATAATTTCACTTCTTTCCCCTATTTCAATGTCTTTTATTTTAGTATCTTGTCTGATCACATTGATTAGGACTTCCAGTACCATATTAAAAAGGAGTGGAGAAAGTGGACAGCCTTGTCCAATTCCAGTTATCAGTATGATATTAGCTATGGGTTTTTCATACATGCCTTTTATTGTGTTGAGAAATGTCCCTTCTATGCAGATTTTACTGAGAGTCTTAATCATGAATGGATGTTGTACTTTATCAAATGCTTTTTCTCACCAATTGATATGGTAATATAGTTTAAATCTTTCTTTCTCTTAATATGGTGTATTACATTTAGGATTTTACCTATGTTGAACCATTCCTGAATCCCTGGAATAAAGCCTACCTGGTCATGGTGTATAATCTTTTTAATGTATCCTTGGTTATGATTTGCTAGTATCTTATTGAGAGCTTTTGCATCTGTATTTATCAGTGATATTGATCTGTAGTTTTCTTTTTTTATTATGTCCTTGTCTCTTTTGGGGGTGAGAGTAATGGAGGCTTCATAAAATGAATTTTGGAAGGTTCATTCCTTTTGGATCTTTAGAAATAGTTTGAGTAGAATAGGGGTTATTTCTTCTTTTAATGTTTTGCAGAATTTGGGAGTGAAACTATAGGGACTTGGGCTTTTCTTTGTTGGGAGGTTAGTTATCAGATTCAATTTTATTGCTTGCTATAGGCTTATTTAGGGTTTCTGTGTCTTTCTGATTCAGTCTTGGTAGCTTATATATGTACAGAAATTTGTGAATGTCGTCCAGGTTTTCTTGCTTGTTGGTGTATAGTTGCTCATAATATTCTTTAATGATCTTTTGTATCTCTGTTAAATCTGTTGTACTATTGCCTATTTCATTGTGAATTTGATTTATCCGGTTCCTTTCTTTCTTCTTCTTAATTAACCTAGCTAACAGTGTATATACTTCTAATTAGATTTACTTGTAATGAAAAATATTGGACACTACAGGCCCTTCATTTGCAAGAGCTTCAAAATCTATTGTGGTATTGTCACTTGCAAAAAGTATACATTAAGGATATGCATTAGTTATTTCTGATCTTCATGGGCATATTTTGTGGTTCAGGAAAGTGTTTTAATGCATTTGACATGTTTTTAAAAGCTGTCTAGGTAGACTCATACTAGAAAATTTCTATGAACAGAAAATATTGCCGCATCAGCAACATCTGAAAATACAAAAACATACTATATATTTTATTTATGTTCATTTAAAAATATTTCCCAACTTCTTTACATTTCCTTTCATTTTGGACCTTTAATTTATTATTGTAATTATATTATTGCTTAAAAAAAAAAAAGCAAAATCCAGTCTCAAAAAAAAAAAAAAAGATGTTATGTGATGTCAAATGCAACCAATTATAAGACTTATGTAACTACATGACATTACTTCAAAAGATTTTTTAAAACTATAACTTAAAATAAAGTAAAAAACATAAAAGATAGAAAGGCGCAAAATGTAAATTGAATTTTAGAAATAGTTAAAATCTAATAAGGTTTCTAATGAGGATATGGCTATTATATCATGTGCCTAAAATTCATAATTTTATTATTGGACACAGCACAGAATATGCGATGTTATGTGATGTCAAATGCAACCAATTATAAGACTTATGTAACTACATGACATTACTTCAAAAGATTTTTTAAAACTATAACTTAAAATAAAGTAAAAAACATAAAAGATAGAAAGGCGCAAAATGTAAATTGAATTTTAGAAATAGTTAAAATCTAATAAGGTTTCTAATGAGGATATGGCTATTATATCATGTGCCTAAAATTCATAATTTTATTATTGGACACAGCACAGAATATGCTACGAAAATGATTTCAGTGTTTAATTTAACAACAGCATGCAACAATTGCAATCACTGACAGAAAGTGTTAATTAAATTAAGTGTATTGTACTTATTTAAGAAATTAAACATTCAAAGATTTTTGTGGTAAAATTAAATGGATGACCAAACTATTGCGCTAAGAGATGTCTTCAGTCACCCATACTGTCTGCATGTCAGTTCTCTAGGCATAGTTTCTTTGTCTACACAGAAGGTGGCTGGGTCAGGTGAGCCTTAAGACCCTCTCCATCAAGGAGTCTAGGTCTAGGGCTGCCTAAATTAAGACTGACTAATGCTCTGGAGAGGGAAGGTACTTCCTAGTGCATAAAATATTAATAAAACCAATGAATCATAAAGTCAGCAAATTTAGAGTTTGTTGGATGTGATTGGAAGGTATTGTATTTTTCCATTATGGAAATCTGTTTATTTTTGAATTTTTAATTCTATTTATTGATTTCTATCTTTTTTAAAAAATATTTTACATACTTGTATTTCTTCTTATATGAATATATTAGAGGCCTATGCACTACTCTTGATAAATAGTCCAACAGGTAAAAGGTTTGTTACTTTTATTCCATATGTTTATTTTTAAAAATGGTCTTCATTCAGGTATGTGGAAGTGTTGAGTTTTGACTAACATTCCTAAATATTTGACAGTTCAGTATTAAAACTTTAAAATGACAGGAAGACAGATAGATAGATACTCACACACAAATAAAAATGCATAATTGTGTTTCCTGGAAAATATACTATCCAGAAAACAGAAATCAAGTCAGCACTTGGATTTAACTTGCGCCTGCAAGCCAGCAAAGCCCTTTGAAAATAAATCTAGCTTTATTGGCATCTACTGAAAGCAGCAGAAACTATTGGATTTTTAATTTCTAGAGATCTTAAGGGACCTTATAAGGAGCGCTCTTTTCTGAGCACTCCCTGTCTGTGTGTTCCCAGAAGACTTAAACTTATTGACATTTTTGTTATTGATTTATTTAGTATACATGCCTTTCATCTCCACATTTTTCTTCTTCCCCTCCCCTTTCTATCTAGTATACAGTATGGACTGCCCTCTGGGTCACCTGGAATGTGTTCATTATCTGCTTTTATTTGGAAGTAGGTGGGCTCTCTAAGGTGAGTGTATCATGCTTTTAAAGTACACTTTGAAAATAATATATTTATCAGTGACCTGTGACTATGTATATAGGCATGTTATGCACACACACACACACACACACCACATAGACCAGACTTGGGGAAATTTGCCCTGTATAATACACACACACACACACACACACACACACACACACACACGTAAGTAGCATTACAAGTGGAATACTTATAAAGGAGAGTTTGAGTGCCATTCAGGAAACAATGATCTCAGAAACATGTTATCATAATGGAACTTCAAAACAATTGCCTTGTTCATTCATTATGGTGAAGGGGGATTGGATTCTAGTGTATCCTCATGTCCATTTTAAAAAGATCTAATGTCACAGTGACCACAGTCCCAGATGTTAAGTGAAAAATGATTTTGAACATTCTTACATTTGAAATAAGGAAAGGGCGGTGATTCCTAGCTTGAAACCTTGATCACACAGAAGGTGGTTGTCATAATGCTGTGCGACACACATGTTATTTTCTGTCTATTCTGGAATTGTTAGCAGAGCACAAGATTTTCATTATGCCTCTTGCAAAACATCTTCTGATTGACCACCCAGATGTGGGAGCGACTTAAGTTTCTAGTTGTGTTTCTTAATTTTTTTTTAAGCAAGAAGAAACTTCACAGTGTAATTACAAAATGTATTTAAAAACTGTCATTTTTTAAGATTTCTCATTACCAACTATAGTTGTGCTAACTTATTCCATTGACAGTTGCAAATTTTCTGACGGTGTAATGGTTTGCTATTACCACATGTGCTTTAGATCTTAGGAAATCTAACTAGACCAGCATGGGCACATTTAAAATTGTAAGGCTTCACTGAAACCTACAGTAACAAAGCATGTTGGATTCAGCCAACCAGCAAAGATTCCTGAAGAATTTTTTTCCAGAATCTCCAAAGGCAGTTACTTTTATTCCCTCTGCAATGATAACTTTATAATTAGAGCTTGTCATCATTTTTTCACATTGGCAAATATAAAGAATCTTTTTAAACAGAATTCTTATATGTGTATTAATATGTAGCTTGAATATTTGCACTATTGATCACATTTGACCACTAATTTCTAAGACAGAATAAAAGTGGTTTATTTTTTTCTTTTTTTTTGGAGAGGTTTTTGCTATAGGGCGTGTGTACACGCCAGGAAGACAGAGAGACAGAGACAGAAAGCGAGAAATCACCCCCCAGAGGGGATGGCCACGCTGCAATCCCTTCTCCTCCATTCTCCTCTTAGGATCTTGGGCATGCACATACATGCGCCCGGCGTGAGTTTAAGCCACCGGATCCGGGATGCGAACCACGGTCGGCTACATGGGAGTCCAGCGACATAGCCATTATGCTAAGTGCTGGTCCCAGAATAAAAGTTCTTATGTCCCAATTATCTTCTATAAATGCAGAGTATAATGTAATTTTAAAATGCAAATTTGAGGCCAGTAGGTGGCGTGGTGGCTAAGAGTCCTAGATTCCCACATGGCCAACTGTAGTTCGAGTCTTGATCTCAGCGACTTGCTTTTTCACTTTCCCTCTCTCCCTCTGTCTCTCTCTGGTCAAATTAAAATAATAATAATAAATAAATAAATAAATAAAGTTAAATAAAATGCATATCTTCTGGATAAGAGAATTATGAATAATAAATTAAGCATAGCATTTCACCCCTTAGCATTTTGTATCTTTTGATTTGAATGGTTACTTTAGATTGCTTTTTATTTCATTGAGTGGAAATCATCCGTTATTTTCTTCTTTATAAACTGATTTGGAATAAATTAAACTAGAAGAAATTTATCCTATGAAATCAACATTGTAGTATGTCGAAAGGAAACTGCATTTTAGGGACCAGCAGTTGGCATAATGGCCATGTCGCTGGACTCCCATGTAGCTGACCGTGGTTCGAGTCCCAGTGGCTTAAACTGACACCGGGTGTGTGTGCGTGCGTTCCCAAGATCCTGAGAGGAGAATGGAGGAAAAGGGATTGTGATGTGGCCATCCCTCTCAGGGGGTGATTTCCCACTTTCTGTCTTTCTGTTTCTCTCTGTCTTTCTGGTGAGCGCACATGCTCTATAGCAAAAACCTCTCAAAAATAAAAAGAAAGAAAGAAAAAGAAAAGGAAAAAGAAAACTGAATTTCAATCATAAATCTTTAGTTCACATTTTATCTTTAGTGCTTGTTAATTGGGCCTTCAGCAAATTGCTTTACCCTGCCAAATCTCTGTGAAATACCCAGTAATATGACCAGCTTTGCCAGTAATGAGAGTAGTCGGTGTTTGTTGGGTGCTTAGCACCACTTACACATCACATGTGGTAGCTCAGGAAGCCTCCAAACAATCCCGTTAAGTGATATAAATAAATAAATAAATACCAACAGTCCTTTGTTCCATGTAAGTCTGATTTCCCACCATTCTCAAGGTTATTTTTGTAAACTGTTCTGTATAATTGCTTTTTAAATACAAACGTGCATGTCAAGGCACTTTTTTTCTCTTATCTTTGGGTGCAAGTTTTTTTTTTTTTTTTTTTATGTGAATATAGAAGTCCTGGTTACTCATTTTATTATCTTTTCAAAGGGCATTAAGCAGTCAACCAAGTATTGTAGATCATTAAAAAGATAAATGGCTCCAAGTGGAGCTTCCTAAAGATTTCCTGTTGGTCTTCTATTTACTGCCTCAAAGATTGGTAACATCGTCCTGGTTAGCCACAATTTAGCCTCAATTCCATTCTGTAGGAAATCCATCCTGAAAAACAGAGCAGAGTTAAGGACTCTTAACAAACACAAATACCTCTGCCACCCTTCTAGGCTGGGTCATTGTGTAGGAAATTCTTTATCCATATGTACTGGTTTATACACTAACTTTCTAGAGCTGTCCATCTCCTGCTAGTTCATAAAGACATTTCTCAGAATCACCCACTTGGACAGATTAAGGGAATCCTCCCTACACCTTCTGATCTTCTGAAATAGTGAATCTTTCTCAAATAAACTAGATTCAAAATAATTTGTACAACGTCTCCCTATGAGAGAGCGCCTTCAACAGGATCTTAATACCACGATCCACTTCTAGCCTCAGCCAGCTCTCAATCATGGGCACCCGTGTCCAGTGTACTCAGGGAGGTCTCCAGATGCAAATGTGGAACATTTCTATGTGGTTCAGCCTCTCAGAGCATCGCATTTTACCACAGTGTCACCATCCAGTACCCCATACTGACTTTTTAAAAATTAGGCTAATGATGGGACCAGCATTTGGCATAGTGGCTATGTCTCTGGACTCCCATGTAGTAGACCACAGTTTGATTCCCAGACTCGATGGCTTAAACTCTTGCTGGGCATTTATGCGTGTGCCCAAGATCCCCAGAGGAGAGTGGAGGAGAAGGGATTGTAGTGTGGCCATCCCCTCCGAAGGGGGGGTGATTTCTCACTTTCTGTCTCTCTGTTTCTCTCTGTCTCTTTGGTGAGCACATGTGCCCTATAGCAAAAACCTCTCAAAAAAAAAAAATTAGGCTAATGAATAAGAAACAATGAGACATTCTTGGGACCAGCAGTTAGCATAATGGCTATGTCGCTGGACTCCCATGTAGTCGACCGTGGTTTGCATCCTGGACCCGGTGGCTTAAAACTCATGCCGGGAGCGTGTGCGTGCATGCCCAAGATCCTGAGAGGAGAATAGAGGAGAAGGGTTTGTGGTGTGGCCATCCCCCCTGGGGGGTGATTTTTTGCTTTCTATCTCTATGTCTCTCTGTCTGGCGAGCACATGCGCCCTATAGCAAAAAACTCTCAAAAAAAAAAAAAAAAAGCAACAATGAGACACTCTCATTGACTCAAAGTGGATGAATATAGTAGAAGATTTAATGATAAGTGAAGTAAGCCAGACTTTAAAAGAAAAACACTGTATATTCCCCCTCAATATATACTGAATGTCTGCACTCTGTGGCAGAAATTGAAAGGCCTGAAGATGTAACAGTAGGGAAGAAAAGTGTAGATGCCAGAGACTATATAGGAGGGGCGTAGATGGTAAGAGGGTAGGAGGGGCAAGGGAAGACACACTTATGAGACACAAAATGTAAAGTTCTTGGGGCCGGCAGGTGGCATGGTAGTTAAGAGTGCTGGACTCCCACGTGGCCGACCACAGTTCAAGTCCTGGACCTGGTGGCTTGCTTTTCCACTCTCTCCCTCTCTCCCTCTGTCCCTCTCTGGTCAAGTTAAAATAAGTAAATAAATAAATAAATAAAGTTAAATAAAATAATTCTTAAGAAAAAGGAATGTAAAGTTCTCTAGTGAAAATTATGTATATGGTAATGCCCTTGGTTTGATTTACAGGTACTCCATCATACTTTGAAAAATCTATTGTGCACTGTAGAGATGTGCAATGACTGAATGTAAATAATAAGCCATAAAATTTTTTTAAATGGGAGGAAAGTTAGGCTAACAAAAGACATGTCCATATTTTTATTATCTCTTGGTTAATACTTTCAAATTTTGCATAGTATTACATTAAGTGGAGATAGCTTATTTTTTTTCTCTTTTCTATCATGAAATGTTAAAGATTCTTGATAAATTTTGCTAGTATTTTTCCAGAGCTTTCTATTAGTTACAAAATATAAGTATTCAGAGGGTCATTAGCACAAATTAATTGCTTTCCCCTTTTTTTGGTTAATTTCACAGTTAAAAATAAACTTGTTCATTTTTATTAAAATATTTTGGGTTTCATAAAACTGAGTAGCTCCCAATGTGCTCAGTGATCAGTCCTTTGTTCTCTTTTTGTTAATATTATATGTCTTCTTATATTTTGTGTTTTAATAATTTAATGCTTTTGGCTTTAATCCCCCTGGAGTTTAATTCTGCTAACTTGTACAAGGTAATGATCTAAATAAATACTTTCACCAGTAGCTGGCTGATTGTACAGACAACATTTACATAGTAGTCTTCTGTTTTGTGACACCTTTTTATGGTATAATAAATCCTTACAGGATCAATTTCTAGAATATTATC